CTTTCTGTCTCTATAAATTGTCTATTCTGGTATTTCATGTAAATGTAATCATACAATATTTCTTTTTTTGTGCCTGGCTTAGCATAATGTTTTCAAGATTTATCCATGTTGTAGCACATCTCAAGCACCTCATTCCTTTTTGCGGCTGAATAATATTTTGTTGTGTGGTTAGAGATGGACATTCACATTGTTTCTACATTTGGGCTATTATGAATAATGATACTAGGAACATTTGTGTACAAATTATTTTAAAGTATTTATTTATTTGACAGAGAGAGAGACCCGGCGAGAGAGGGAACACAAGCAGGGGGAGTGAGAGAGGGAGAAACAGGCTTCCCACTGAGCAGGAAGCCAGATGCGGGGCTTGATCCTAGGACCCTGGGATCATGACCTGAGCCGAAGGCAGATGCTTAATGACTGAGCCACCCAGGCGCCCGTGTACAAATTTTTACGTGGATATGTACTTTCAATTATTTTGGGTATATACCTATGGGTGGAATTTCTGGGTCACATGGTAACTCTATGCTTAACATTTTGAGGAACTGTAAAAACATTTTTCAGAAGGACTGTACCACTTCATGTTCTTTTTTACATTACATTTTGCATTATATTTGTTACAAATTTTTTGGAAAAGACTTTTTTTATTCAGTGTTTAAGATTTTTTTTTTAAAGATTTTATTTATTTATTCATGAGAGACAGAGGGAGAGAGAGAGAGAGGCAGAGGGAGAAGCAGGCTCCCCAAGGAGCAGGAAGCCTGATGCAAGACTCAATCCCAGGACCCTGGGATCACGACCCAAGCTGAAGGCAAACGCCTAACCATCTGAGCCACTCAGGCACCCTTCAGTGTTTAAGATTAAAAACTACAAGATTTTGCTTGTTGCTGATGAGTAAAAAGAAAAAAGTTAAATTATCAACTGATTAGCTAGTTAAAATGTTTTGACTCAGAATAAAATTATTAATAGATATTCCAGTTACTTTGTGTAGGCTTAAGAGTTCTGGAGCAGAATAGGTCTAAACAAAATATATCATCTGAGAGCATAGGGCTAATGAGTATATGAATTACTGAGTAAGAAATCTGATAAAGAGAGGTTGTGGCAGACCTTTGATTCTTTTAGGCTTCTAGCAGTTGGTTACCACATGCAAGGACCCAGCAGCCAGTTATTTCACCTTTTTACTTGTCTGAGTTAAACTTTAACCCACTAAAGCAGGAATAAAAAGATACCTTATAGATCAGTTGGAAAACATAAAGCAGTTCCAATTCTCCAGCAATATATGAGGGTTCCAATTTCTCCACATCCTTGCCAACACTCACTTACCTCCCTTATTTTTTATTACAGCCACCCTAGTGAATGTGAAGTGGGATTTCATTGTGATTGTGATTTTGATTTGCATTCCCCTAATTGCTAATAATGTTGAGCATTTTTTTCATGTGCTTATTGGCCATTTGTATATCTTCTTGGGGTGATGTATATTCAGATACTCTGCCCATTTAAAAAAAAGATTTTATTTATTTATTTTTTTAAATTTATTTTAGAGAGAGAGAGAGATTGAGAAATTGAGAGGTTGAGCGGGGGAGAGGAGTAGATTCCTTTTTCCTCAAGCAGACTCTCCACTGAGTGTGGAGCCCCACTCAAGGCTCAGTACCAAGACTCTGAGATCACGACCTGAGCCAAAACCAAGAGCTGGATGCTTAACTGACTGAGCCACCCAGGCACCCCTACTTTGCCCATTTTTAATTGGGTTGTCTTTATTTCTGAGTTGTCAGACATAACTATATATTCTACATATAAGTATTTTATCAGATCTCTAGAATTTTCAGGGTTTTTCACCATTTACATAGATTGTCTTTATTTTTTAAGCGTCCTTTGAAGCACAAAAATTTTACATTTTCATTAAATACAATTTGTCTATTTTTTCTTTTGTTGCTTGTGCTTTTAGTGCTGTATCTAAAAAAAACAAACAAACAAAACAAACAAACAAAAAACATTGCCTAGTCCAAGGTCACATATTTACACCTATATTTTTATAAGAAAAATGAAAAATTATAAAAAAAGATTTCTTATAAAGAAAATTCTTATAAATAAGAGTTTTATAGTTTTGTCCCTTACATTTGGGGCTTTGGTCCATTTTGAGTTAATTTTGCATATAGTATGAAGTGTCCAATTTGATCATTTTTCATGTGAACCATTTGTCACAACACCTTTAAAAAAAAAAACTGTTCTTTTCCCATTAAATTGCCTTAGCACTCTTTTTGAAAATCAATTGACCATAGCATAACAACTTTATTTATAATGGCCACAAATTGGAAAAAGCCCAATGTCCATCAACCAAAAAAAAAATGTATAAATAAATTATGGCATATACATATAATGGGATGCTAAACAACAATGGTAAGGAACAAATGTTGCTGCACACATGATGGATGAATCTCACAGAAATAACATTGAGCTAAGAAAGCCAGAAACAAGAATGTTCTTGTATTAATTCAATTTATGTGAAGTTCAAGGACAGATAAAACTAATAATGGTGACAGAAGCCAAAATATAAATTACTTGGGAGAAGGGGATGGTACTGACTAGGAAGGGCCATGAGACAGCCAGTTGAGGTAATGAAAAGATTCTGTATCTTTATTTGGATAGTGTTTATGTGATTATATACATATGTAAAAATTTTATAGGCCTGTCCACTTGATTTTGGATGATTCAGTCTCATCCTCTGTGACATTTTAGAAGTGTGTCTAGATGTAGTTATGAGACACCTCAGAGTAACCCTAATTTTCTCAAAACCTAATTATTATCTCTCACCTTCTCTTACAATAAAAAGGCAATTACATCTGCCAGAGGACAACTGATGACCACAGGGACGAATTTGACATAACTTCTGAGTTTGCCCCTGGATAATAACATTTAACCATTATTAAACAGTTTTCCTGTATGCCCTGACTTCAAAACAGTCCAGAGTCTATGTTATTTTGTTCTCTGTAATAAAAACAATTTGTTAAGCTTATAATGAGAGACAATTTATTTTGTATTATAAGCAGTTTGACAAAAACGGGGGGTGGGGGAAAACTGTCTGTTCATTCCCTGGATTCTGCTATGAGGATTTAGTAATAAGCCTGTCTTGCCTAAACATATGTCTCAAAGCCTGTGTTAGAGGGATGTGTTAAGATTCATGACAAATAACATTTATTAGATAAATGGGGGTCTGGAAGTCAAACAAAACAGAGTGTTTTGGACACCCAGAGGCTAGAAGCAGCTGCTGTGGAGATTTCAGATGCCTATGTCAGGAGCTTATCTCAAGGGCAGGGCTACTCTTTGGCTTCTGACAATGTTTTTCTGCTTTTGTGGGTAAGAAAAAGATACAGGGTAGTTGTCCAGACCAGTATGCTGGCTCTGTGCCCATGACACTTAATTCCCTTGTCATAAGGCCTATGGGACCACTGATAGTTTTGGTCCTTACTAAGAAGGGTAGGTATGGAGGGGACTATGTTTATTGAGGCTGACAACTATGGGCCAGTAATTGAAACAACACAAGAGGTAACATTTTTAGTTTGTGCAAAAATGAATTTTGTAGCCCACTTTCTTCTGAATGAAGGAATGAGGAAGAATGCCCCAGTTGATGGTGAGAAAAGACACATTCAAGCAAGAATGCCAGCCAGGATGATTCACCCTAACACCACTGGGGACTTTTGAGGGGAAGAGTGATGGCCTCTCAGGGTTCACATTCACTCTCCTCTCTTCCAACATACATACTTAGGATTTTCAGCACTTTGAATAGCCACCTAAAGTTCACCTTGGTATGAGGTTAAGGAACAAGCAAAAGAATCTCACACCACCTTTGTCTTTGAATAGTGCAAGTCGTGTGTATCAATTACTTGAGTCTCCCTCATTAAATTCATCTTTGTAGAAAACTTTGTACTTAACTCTGTCTTATTTTGTGTAGCTTTTTCAAGTCTTTGTAATGGTTTGATGGACCTTATAGCTCATTTAATCCTCCCAAGAACTATATAAGGTAGGTGAGAAACATACTGTCCCCTTTTTTCAGATTAAGTAACTATGGCCAGAAAAGATAAAGTGACTCATCCAAGGGCATAGGTTAAAAGAAGAAGAGTTAGGTAAGTTGAACAACTAATCCAGTTTGCCTGAAACTGTCCCAGTTTTAGTACTGAAAACCCCATATGCTGGGGAAGCCTCTTAGTTCTGAGCAAACCTGGATAATTGGTTACCCTATACCCAGGATTAAACTCTGTATTTCCCAGCTCTCAGGTCAATGCTAGTGATACTGCCCTATGCCATGTGTATTCTGAGAACTGTTATCTGAGTAGTGTTTCTTCTTCTCTACACCTTAGTGTACCAGGATATTTCTCCATGGTGGGTCACCTCCCCTCCCACTCTTCCCTAGGGCAGAAGCAATGACAGCTAGTGGCCCTCAAAGGTATTCAAGACAGTTTTGGCAAAAGAAAACCATGTTTCAGTTTTCTTATCCACCCAAACAATGACAATAATCCCTATAGTGCTTACCTCTCATGGTTATTGTGTGGATCAAATAATAATGGATGTGAAAGTGCTTTCTAAACTGTTAATAGCTGGTCACATGTGAAAAATTGTGGTTATCCTCTACCCACCCAGACGGAAGCTAGCTCCTTGTCTTACTCTCTTTCCAGGTCAGCAAGTGGTACAACAAGTAACTGTGTGAACTTTGGCAAATTTTTGGCCTCTGTGCCTCAGTTTCCTCATATGTAAGTTAGGGATAATAATAATCTCTGATATGGTGGTGTAAAGTATTCAATGAATTATTTTTAAATATAAAGCATTTAAAAGAGTTCTGGGCACATGGCCAGGGCTATATAAGCATTAGCTGTTTTGGATTGGCTTCCTCAACCCCTGTAACTCAGAGCCAGAGACTATATTAAGTGGACCCATAAACCAAGTGACCCATAAACCAAGCCACCACTTTCCATTTTCACTAGCTCCCTAGTTTTTGTGTTATGTACCCACAGCCTTCCCACCATGGATTGCCAAGAAAATGAGTACTGGGACCAATGGGGACAGTGTGTCACCTGCCAACTGTGTGGGCCTGGACAAGAACTCTCCAAGGTAAGTACCCCTGGTCAGGATACTTATTTCTGTCACATTCTAGGAACCAGCCTCACAACTGAGTGGGTCCAAGATTAAGAGAGTCAACCCCACCTGTGTCTAATCCAGTCTAGCAGGCAAAACATGGAATCCAAAGATTATGATAATAGCAGTGACAGTGCCAACAAAAAGCCCACCTGACAGGATCAGGGTCAGGGGAGGGTTCCATGAGATAATGGCATATATCAAGAGGAAATAAGGAATGCAGAGGCCTAGGAAGACTATTTAGCATTAGGGAAATCTGTCAACAAAATTAGGGTCCACCCACTTGGGATTCGGGAGCCAGATGTTAGGTCTGATCTGTTACAGAGCTACTTTAGATCAGGTAGTAGAGGAAGGCCTCTCTAAGGAGGTGTCTTCTGGGGACAGAATATAGCTAGTACAGAGTCCCAAGGTGGGAATGAATTAGGCATATACAAGGAAGAAGAAGAAGTTTAGTGCAGCTGATGTATGTTAAGTGAAATAGAGAATGGTACACAATGAGGTCATAGAAGGAGGTATGGGCCAAACTATGTGGAGTCTTAAAATCTATGATGAAAAGTTTTCATTTTTTCCCTAAGTATACCAGGGAACCTTTGGGGGGTTTTGATTAGAAGAGTGACATGATCCTATAAGTAAAATAAAATATAGCAGTTATTTAGCCCACATTCCTATCTCTCTATTTCACAAAGTCCCAGAGACACCAACAAATGCAAGCACCAACTCTAATTTTAACTCCTTATGTGTAACATTCTGTACCACAGAGGAGTGTCCACATGGTTGATAAGGAATCCCAGGACCCAGGAAAGGTCATCAGAGGTTAGATCATGTTGGGCATTGGGATGGACCTGATGGACTAAACTGCTTGGCTTAACATAATCTATTTTCAGTATTGCATTGATCTTCATGTTAAAAAGTCTTGGCACTCTCATTAAGAACAATCTCTTACAAATGTTTCTATCATGTACATGACTATTATGTTTAAAGCCATCCATGTTTACAAACCTGAACTTCTCCAAGGGAGAAAAATAGGTCTTTCTATGTATCAAACTGCTGTTACCAAACTCTTAAAACATGATCCATGATGAAATGTACATTTGTGTATTTCAGCACCACTAGAAAGCTCAGAGACAATGAATGAGTTGCAATGTTGTGTTCCTGCAAAAACTTTATATGTAAACAGATTGTACTTGTATAGCAGTCTGTACCTTGTAAAGGACTTTCATGTAGATTATCTAATTTGGCTCTTAGTCCCACCAAGGAGGTATTAAGAACGCCATTTTAGATTAGGAAACTAAGACTCAGAGAGGATGCATGACTTTCCCAAAGTCAAAATGGTTCAGTAAAAATAAACATGAGCCAGATAAACAAGGGTTTGAGCCTCAGCTTTGCTGTGGGGAAATTAGTTTAACTCTGACTCAATTAGGATGTGCTAAATTAAAAGTAACATAAAGCAGCAGTGACTTGAACCATAAACACATTTATTTATGTAATGAAGTCTAGAGGTCAGGAGACTGTGGTTGGTTGAGCTGATCAACAATGTTGTCAAGGACCCAGGCTCTTTTTATTCTTCGGTATCTTGTTTTGTCTTCATGCTTGTGTCCTTTTGGTTGCCACAACTCAAAGCATCACATCTTCACAGCATAGTCAAAGTCAGGAAGAAGGGGCAGGGACAAAGTACCTTGACTTTTATTAGGGAAGAAGTATTTTCTTAGAATACTTCCTAGAAGTATTTTCCTAGAAGCTCCTCAGCAGATTCCCCCTTATATCTTATGGGTGCAAATTGACTGCTGTATCTCTAAACTGCAAGAAAGGTTAGGAAATTAATACCTGGCAAGTGGGAATGGGATTGCCATGATTAACTAAGGCCAATCAAGCATCAGTTCTTGAGACTGGTCACCTTGCAACTGAGAATGAAATCAATGTGCTATTAGTAAATAAGAAACTGGGCAATAACTTTTAGATAAGGAGCTAACATCACCTGACACAGCCCTGTATTTACTTTTATTTAGTTTTAGAATTCACTCATATGGATTGTAAACATTACTATAAATAAATCTTTACAGAAAATCAACACTATTTCCTCAGGACATATTTTTAGAAGTGTAATTACCATGCAAAATAATGCAGACTGTTTAGAAATTCTTGAGATATATTAACAGATAACACTTCTGAATTTTTTTTACTAATTTCCATTACAAATATATTTATTTTCAATAGTGCATGGATTTCTTATATCCTAAAAGCCAAACCACACATGAATAATGCATGTTTCTATCATCTATTAATTTTATACCTTCTTTTGTAATGTTAAATTACTAATTTGAGAACTCTCTTTTAAAAGATTTTATTTATTTATTAGAGAGAGAGAGAGAGAGAGCACAAGACGGGGTAGGGTCAGAGGGAGAAGCAGGCTTCCCACTCAATCCAGGATTCCGGGATCATGACCTGAGCCAAAGGCAGTCGCTTAACCAACTGAGCCACCCAGGCACCCCAATTTATGAGAACTTTATGTTATTTTACTTTTTTTTATTTGATGGGGAAAAAACTTTTTTTGTGTTTATTGTCTATTTACATTTTCAATTTTGTGAACTATTTCAGATTGTTTTACTCTTCTCTTCATTGTTTATTGTTTATTCTTTAGTAGTTTAAGAAACTAGAGTAGACAGACAGGATAGCAGAATATGGAGTGTTTTTTAAATTTTCTTTTTATTATATAATATTTTCAAAAATCAGAAATGGTTTTGAATTTTGTTTCATTTTATCAGCTCTATTGACAATTTCATCTATTCTCCTCTTGACATAATAATTTGATTGTATATATCAATAAATTCCAAAAATTAAAATATCTTGCATTTCTAGGATAAGCCAATTTTGATTTTGTGATTTTGGGTTGCATATGCTTTTATGTTTTAAAAGTTCATATTTTATAATACATAAATACTTTTATAGCACTATCAGCATCAAAAATTATATAAGAATTGTGCTAACTAGGTAAAATTAATTAAGAATATTGATATTCTTCTAATTATAAAACAGTTTTGGGGGCCATAATCATTTGAGAGAATTACTTTTGCCTCCTAATTAGGAAAGATTCTCAATATAATATTTTGCATGATACTTTATTCTTTTTTAATTTCCTAGAAAACAACTTATTCATTCAAGAAGTTATTTTTTTCTGGTTCTTTTTAATTTTATTTTATTTTAAAGTGTTATGTTGTCACCATATAGTACATCATTAGTTTTTTTTTGCTTCTTTTTAAATTTTATTTTATTATGTTATGTTAGTCACCATACATCATTAGTTTTTCATGTGGTGATCCACGATTCATTGTTTTTTTATAACACCTAGTGCTCCATGCAGTACGTGCCCTCCTTAATACCCATCACTGGGCTAACCCATCCCCCCACCCCCTCCCTCTAAAACCCTCAGTTTGTTCAGAGTCCATAGTCTCTCATAGTTCGTCTCCCCCTCCGATTCCCGCCCCCCTTCATTTTTCCCTTCCTTCTCCTAATGTCTTCCATGCTATTCCTTATGTTCCACAAATAAGTGAAACCATATGATAATTGACTTTCTTTGCTTATTTCACTTAGCATAATCTCCTCCAGTCCCATCCATGTTGATGTAAAAGTTGGATATTCATCATTTCTGATGGCTGAGTAATATTCCATTGTATATATGGATCCTGCCACATTACTGAATTGCTGGATGAGTTCTAGTAATTTGGGGATGGAGTCTTTTGGATTTTCCACATAAAGTATCATGTCATCTGCAAAGAGAGAGAGTTTGACTTCTTTGCCAATTTGAATACCTTTGATTTCTTTTTGTTATCTGATTGCTGTTGCTAGGGCTTTTAGTACTATGTTGAACAATAGTGGCGAGGGTGGGCATCCTTGACGTGTTCCTGATCTTAAAAGAAGTGTTCTCATCTTTTCCCCATTGAGGATGATATTCGCTGTGGGTTTTCTATAGATGGATTTTATGAACTTGAGGAATGTTCCCTCTATCCCTATATTCTGAAGAGTTTTAATCAGGAAGCGATGCTATATTTGGTCAAATGCTTTTTCTGCATCAATTGAGAGGACCATATAGTTCTTCTCTCTCCTCTTATTAATGTACTCCTTCACATTGATTGATTTGTGAATGTTGAACCACCTAGCATCCCAGGGATAAATCCCACTTGGTAGTGTGGATGATCCTTTTAATGTATTGTTGGATCCTATTGGTAGGATTTGGTTGAGAATTTTGGAATCCATATTCATCAGGGATATTGGTCTGTAAGTCTCCTTTTTGATGGCATCTTTGCCTGGTTTGGGGATTAAGGTAATGCTGGACTCATAGAATGAGTCTGGAAGCTTTCCTTCTGTTTCTATTTTTTGAAACAGCTTCAGGAGAATAGGCATTATTTCTTCTTTGAATGTTTGGTGGAATTCCCAGGGAATCTCTCAGGCCCTGGACTCTTGTTTTTTGGGAAGTTTTTGATCACTGTTTCAATCTCGTTACTGGCTATTGGCCTATTCAGGTTGTCAATTTCTTCCTGTTTCAGTCTCAGTAGTTTATAAGTTACCAGGAAGGCATCCATTTCTTCCAGGTTGCTTAATTTATTGGCAGAGTTGTTGATAATAATTTCTTAAAATTGATTCTGTTTCCTTGGTGTTAGTCGTGATCTCTCCCTTTTCATTCATAATTTTATTAATTTGGGTCCTTTCTCTTTTCTTTTGGATAAGTCTGGCCAGTGGTTTATCGATCTTATTAATTCTTTCAAAGACCCAGCTTCTAGTTTTGATGATCTGACCTACTGTGTTTCTGATTTCTAATTCATTGATCTCTGCTCTAATCTTAATTATTTCTCTTCTAATGAGTGCCTTAGGCATCATATGTTGCATTTTCTCCAGTCCTTTAAGGTGTAAAGTTAGTTGGTGAATTCGAGATTTTTCTATTTTTTGAGTGAGGATTGGATGGCTAAGTATTTCCCCCTTAG